ATATCCTTTGTACCACAACAACTTGCAATATCAGTTGGTAGAACTAATTCGTGATAGTTCATAAGGAAAAAAAAAAGTACTAGTTTTAGAAATCAACTAACATATTTTAGCAAGGTCATCCTCATGAGTGATAGTAACAACGGGAGCGTCATCAGATTTTCGTGCCAGGATTTTGCAGTTCCGAACCCAGACATATCGCCATTGGCACTCTCGCTTTTTAGCCTGGGTCATTCCCAGTAGCCGTTTAAGAGGGGGGCATAAGTGTTCATTCACAAACACAGGCGCGGCTGTATCAAAGCCAAGATCTGTAGTAGTGATTCGTTTTTTCTTTGCCTTTTCAAGAATCAGGTCACGCGTGTGCCTGTGTTGAAACTGCACGATCAAGTTACTCTTTCCAGGGTCTCTGGTTGGCACTCGGTGACATATGTCTATGTCTGAAACTGCAATGTTCTCGCCCACCAGTTCGCCGATAGTACTGATTAGATTCATAACGTCCTCGTTTTCAACTCGTGGAATCCCCTTTATTTCCAGGTTTCGATTACGGGAGTACTGCTCGCATTGAATGAGTCTCAGTTCAGTTTCACGAGCGGTCTTGAGCATGACGTCATACTTTTCTTGAAGACCGACAGTTTTTTTTTCCAAAGCGGAGTTTGCTTCCTCGGCTGCTTTCAACTTTGCTTTCATGGCTTCATAATCCTTGTTTATGAAGTCCATGCTAGCCTTTATGCCCTGAAGTTCCGACTGAACGGTACGAAATTCCGTCCTGAAATCGCGTTCAAACGTTTCTCGAAACAGTTTGTGTTCTTTTTTTAGATCATCTTTAAGTTCAGCAAGCAATTTAGTTATGTCCTTGGTCATGGCGAAAAGAATGCTCAAAAATAAAAATTCGCACAACAAAAGCAGGGTGACAGTGAAGGTAGAGGGCTCAACAATAAAAATTCGGACAACAAAAAGGGCTTGGCAGCAGCGACGACAGTAATACACAGTGGATAAAAAGTGTAAGCAACGATAACCAACCTGCAATGGTAGCGCAGATTTTTAGAAGCGATGTTCAGTCAGCCGCCGCCACTGCCAAAGTGCCGAAAGAACGTGTAGCGCCTCCTCCTTTGTAGCTAGGTGTCGCTAGGGTGACAGTCCAACTGGCCAGTAGCAGTTTCCCACGCTCCGTCGAAGATGACTTGCACGTAGTTGTTTACGCGCTGGCTTTGCTTGTGGTTGATCGCACTCGTTGAAGATGCTTGAGGACCGCGTGTTCCAGCTGCGTGTGGTATCAGGGGCAGCCTGCAATGGTAGCGCAGATTTTTAGAAGCGATGTTCAGTCAGCCGCCGCCACTGCCAAAGTGCCATCAACTGTTCTTTTTAGCGACCGGCAGCGGATTGTCTTGATCAGAAGATTGTTTGACTTCAGCGTGTTTTCCTGTGCCGCTTTGGTTTCTGTAATATTGCCTACTGAGAAATATATTTTGTATGCATTTGTATTAGTCTATTTATTCTTCGGAAGAAAAGTGCATTGTGAAATTGTAAAAAAAAATATTTTACTATATAGTGCTGACATTCGCATATGTGCATAAAGATATCATTCATCTGAAAATATTTCAATAACACGTTTTTCAACGTAAAAGTATCTTGGCGTAAATTTTTTTTTCAGAAAGCCTTTTGAAACAGCATATTGGTATTGATATGTCCCGCAGTGCTACAAACCTTGTTTGCATATTAAATCATATTCCTATTAAAAATATGTTAAAGACAACTTTGCGTATTCGCAAAAAATCTTGTGAAGTGGTGCATCGCCTTTATTAGTGACTTGGGATTCCCAATGTAGCAACTAGACGGGCGAAAAAGGCGCATGACAGCTTCTGTAACTTCACGACTGTCGTCAATTAGTCTTCTGTTATAAATTATAAATCGCAAATTTGTTTATACATGCGCATTGTTGATGCATTAAAATTAATAAGGAATTTTATAAAACAAGAAAATTGGTACACTCTTGGATCTCATGTTATTTATGATGTTCCTTTCACTATATCTTTTTTCGCGTGCAAGCTTCTCTTATTTTAAAGCACAATTTGTGCAGTAGAAGCGGTCTTCATAAATTCAATGGATTTAAGTCACCATGTTTCTTATCTCCGTTTTAGAACGGAGTCTCGCGGGGAGTCACGTGAACACGGGCAGTCACGGTGCCGAGCCGTAGTGATCTTCGGAACGTCGAAGACGGAAGTGCATCGAAGAGACTTATGCTGCAGCGTAGATAAACGAAAAGCATGGTTGTATGGTGCCATCATTGTCGCATGCAACTGTGGGGGACTCAAATGAGCTCGAGATCCGAGCAACTCCTGCCTGTCATATGACGTGAGAACACATAAAGGGAACGTTAAACGTGGGTAGGTTTTTGACTCTTAAGGGGCCAAACCTTTACTTCAGCGCGAGATCAAGAAATACGGCCGAGAAAAGGCGCAGATGCCTTCCCGCGGGCGCGACACGGACTCTTTGGGCGCATTAAAAGAGGTCAATGCACGTATAAGCGCACACGCAGACAGACACTCGATAAATCCAAGCACACAAAACATACACTCACACCGCTCTGAACTACCACCTCTTCAAATGTATTCCGTCAAACTTCTTCGACCGGAAGAAACAGGATGCCAGCCCAAAACCAGAGGTCGGCATTTTAGGTCGCCCTCACTCACCCTCACCCTCACAGCCCCACTCACCTAAGCCCCTCACTCACCCTCACCCTCACAGCTACACTCACCTTCAGCCCCTCACTCACCCTCACCCTCACAGTCACACTCACCTTCAGCCCTTCACTCACCCTCACTGAACCTCACGGCCCTCACGCACTCACCGCCCTCACGGCCCTCATGGCCCTCACCGCCCTCGCGGCCCTCACGCCCCTCACTCACTCATGGCCCTCACGCCACTCACCGCCCTCACGCCACTCACCACCCTCACGGCCCTCACCGCTTTCACCGCCCTCACGGCCCTCAAGGCCCTCACGGCCCTCACCGCCCTCACCGCCCTCACGGCCCTCACGCACTCATAGCCCTCACCGCCCTCACGGCCCTCACCGCCCTCACGGCCCTCACGCCACTCACCGCCTTCACGCCACTCACCGCCCTCACGCAACTCACCGCCCTCACGCCACTCACCGCCCTCAGGCGCCTCACCGCCCCTGCGGCCCTCACACGTACCCCTCACGCCTCACGCCACTCACCGCCCTCACGCCACTCAGGCCAGCTTCAGATGGGGCAATTTCGCCCATTAACTTTACGTCGCAACACCAGCAACACGGGCCGCCCGCGATCACACGCAGCAACCAATTGCTGCAATTTGCCATCGTCATCATAAAATGTTATTCTTCTAGCACTATTTAGACGCAATTACGCGTTATAAACGTGTTTTATGCATTTATATCCCGTTAAGAAAACTAATACACCTTTCTGAAACAGTTTATTTCCAAAAAAAACAATCGATTTCAAACCAGAACCAAGTCTTTCGGTGTCATCATCACCGGCACGTGGTATCACGTGAAAATTTTGTGTCCCTGATTGGATGCAGCCGCTTCAAACGCATTCGAATTGCTCCGAGTTGCTTGCTTATTTCGAGCCGGACCCGATTTCAGCAATTCGTGTCGATCTAGGGAAAGCTAGAGAACAACCCGCCATTACCACCAAAATTGCTGAGAAAGATGCTCGATCTGAAGGGGGCCTCACGCACTCACCGCCCTCACGCACTCATGGCCCTCACACCACCACATGTACTCACCGCCCTCACGGCCCTCACGCCTCTCATGCCACTCACAGCCCTCACGCACTCATGGCCCTCACACCCCTCACGCACACACCGCCCTCACACCACTCACGCACTCATGGCCCTCACGCCACTCACCGCCCTCACGCCCCTCACGCACTCATGGCCCTCATACCCCTCACCGCCCTCATGGCCCTCATGGCCCTCACGGCCCTCACGGCCCTCACGGCCCTCACGGCCCTCACCGCCCTCACCGCCCTCACAGCCCTCACGGCCCTCACCGCCCTCACAGCCCTCACGGCCCTCACCGCCCTCACAGCCCTCACGGCCCTCACTCACCCTCACACTCACGAATTTTCCTGGTTCAGAAACTCACTCACCCTCACCTCACCTGTGAAGATGAGGGTGAGTGAGGGTGAGTGAGGGCCCTTATGAGTGAGGTTTGCCGAGGTATGCCCAAAACAGAAGTCAGTGGAACAATGAAAGACAAGGAAAAGGGAGGAAAGATAAAAGGGCAAGGAAAAGGAGAGGAGGCTGGGAAAAGGAAAATAGAATACTAAGAAAGGAAAAATAAAGGAGAATGATAATTACACCTCAAAGTCCAAGAGTTACAAACATTACAAAAAGAGGTACAAATAATATTCACGAAAATACGCAGACACCAGTGTTTCTAGTTTGGTATCCGTGGTTTTTTCACTTCAATATTAACTTAAAATGTGCATATCTAGTTATCAGCAAACTATACGCATCCCTAATAATACCTCGCAGTGCGGTATGTTGATGCCCTAAAAAATTTCAGATGCCTATTTGTTTGTTTAATTAAAGGGACTCGATTATTCGTAACTCTAGCATAAATATTTCCAATTTTAATATTTCCGGAGAAGTTTAGCATATGATCAATACAAAAGGTGCATTTATATTTTCGTTATGCAAATGATTCTTTTCTAACTAACGAAACTACCATTGTATATTGAATTTTAGTCACTGTTCTTTTGGTCAGCTATCTGTATGCTTGTCGGTATGCAGTTTCTTCCTGCACTAACACGTACGTGTCTTTTTTCTTGTTATTAGATGTAGAGGTCATAATACAGAAATAAGTTCAACATTCAGTCTGGTGTCATACGCACGTTTCCGACTAGAAATATTACGGGAGACGAGGAGCGTGAACCTTCTCGGCTTGTGTACCTGACAGAGCAATTATTGGAGGTGTTTTGGCAAAATCCTTTTTATATTGTATTTTTGGTTTGCAGTAATCGACGCCAGTGGCAAGTATCCTACCGGGCTGTTCCAGGGAACGTGGGCGGATATTGGCGCCTACGACGAGTGCCTCGAAACCATCGTGAAAGATGAATTCGGCAACGACAAAATCAGAGGCCAGTACTGCAACATCTACATAAGGATGATCAACGATACCTCCTTCATTGACGCCATGCTGCCGGCTTTTCTCATGTCCCACGAACGGGTAAGTCTTGTAATGTTCACGCGCTCTTTGTATCGTTTAATTTCGTCACTGTGCAATCGAATGCGTTGCGAGCGTGCCTGCACGCTGTAGCTTCACTAGCACGGATGTTATTTGATCGGAACCACCTCAGTAGAGGCAAGGTGCTTCAGTAGGTTAGTCATAAATTTATAGCGGTAGATGCGTACATTTTTTAAATATAACTTCTATGCATTTCATACCTATTTAGAGAACCTCGCGTATAAATAATAAGGGGCCCGGGGGTGAGCGTAAACTGAAAACGAGTCAAGAAGAGCTGCCTTCAAGTTCACTGTGTTGTGTTTTGAAACACACTTTCTACTCGTGATGCAATCAAAAATATATTTCTAAATTCCAAGGACTGGCATTATTTCATTCTCAATTAAATTAATTTTTCTTTGATCATACAATGTACCCCTGTTAGGCTTATGTTTAATGTGGATAAGAAATAGTTGACGAGGTGGAGTCAATTACGACAAGCGTAAAGCGCAATGTACAGTGTTTTTGCAGAGCCAACATATTGATCACAAACAGGGAACTCTGCTTTTTACTAGAATCTAAGTAGTGTCATAAAACATAAAAAGTGCTGGAAATTTGTAGCTTTGACGCCAATCAACCATTTCACTACCTTACCTAAATTGAAAAAAAAGAAGAGTGAAGATACTATGTCCGGTTTAATTTCCTCGCGGAGCACTAATACCTCACGTATATGGGCACACTTAATCGCAGTTAAGTGCGACTGAGATAAGATGTAACTACGGTTATGGGTGCCCACTTAACTAGTGTATAGTTGGCAGTAGCTACTAATCGTACTTAGGTGTAGCTGTGGTTTCGGATGCTCACCAGACACACTTAACCACAGTTAAGTCTGACCTAAGTCACACTTGGCTGCTTTTAAATGAGCCCGTATAACTAGGGTATCGAAAACTGTTGTTGAATATGGTGACCTTACCCAGACAGCAACCGTGCACTTTATTAACACACTCCTGTCCAGACTCCCGTGATCCTGGATATTCAGAAGGACGAAAGGGTTCCGGGAATTCGGCTGGGAATCTGCGCAATTTCGGATTGCGACAGAAAAGACATGCAAGCTCTGGCAGACTCGTGTGAGTGTTTGATTCCCCCAAATATGCGCGCCCGTTTCTTTCTTTTTTTAGAGCGCAGCTCTTAGCGCCCGTTCCCGGCTTGAGCGGCGTCGCCGTCGATTTCGGCGTAACCGCGCGTTGCATGATCAGGCGTTTCCCATAATGACCTCATAGGTGACGTAACGTGTGACGTCACGAGGTTTACCCTCGCGAGGGTCATGAGGTTTACCCTATCAAGGGTTACGAGGGTTACCCTCACGAGGGTCACCAGGGTTACCCTCAAGAGGGTCACGAGGGTTACCCCACGAGGGTCACGAGGGTTACCCTCACGTGACATCACGCGCATCTAACGTTGCCAATATTCCCGCTAAATTTAGCAGCAGAATTTTTCCTCTAAATTTTACAAAAAAATATTCCCGCGAAGTTTACCCTCGTGACGCCACATGTGTTATCACGAGGGTAAAATCTTCCGGCTAAATTTAACGAAAAAATTTCTCCGCTAAATTTAGCGGAGAAGGAAGAGGGGCGTACCCTAACCTCCGTATCCTCCCTCCCTCCTCCTCATGAGCAGCGCTCGAATTCGGCGTTGCAGAAAATTGTAAACGTCCTTAATTTTTTTAACTTCTAGCCGAGAGGCGCAAGATTGTACTTTACGTGGGCAAAATACATCTGTATCAACAGAATAAAATTGTGTTTTGCCTCAAACTGAATATTGTCACGGGTGGTGACCAAAAACAATAAATAAACAAGAAGAAATAAACGTTTAATGCTGCGAACTTGTGCCAAAAATAAAAGGGTACAAAAGGTAATAACAGAGCGTCGAAGTCGGCGTGACTGCAGAGTCGAACGCTGGGGCGAGACCGAATGCAGATCGCCACGCGGAGCCCCTTATGTACACGTGTTGGCTTCTGGAATAATCGGCGTAGAAGGTTCGGCGTGTAGAACATTCCGACCTCGAACAAGCAAGATGGTTCTCGAATTTACCAGAACATTACTTTACAGAGTCAACAAAAATGTGCCTCCGCGGCCAGGAATCAAACGCTGGCTTTCAGCGTGGAAAGCAAGCGCGATAACCGTTAGGCCACGCGCGCGCTGCCTACTTGGCCAGCTGCGCGCGCGGCAATATCACTCCCTTACAGAAATGACTCGCTGTCAACTTTGCCTCATAAACGTCGCAGAGCCAAAAGGAATAGTAAAGCGAATAACGATGCAGGAAGTGCATCACCTACAAATATTGAAATTCTGCGTTATGTCACTTTGAGTGATGTTCATACGAATACAATAGTAAATTTTAAACCTTATTTTGATGAATTGTTTCGTTCAGCCTCGTCACATGCCAAAATTTTTTCACAAATGCTAATGGTCGTCTGTCCGAGTTCTTTATGACAATGGAGACACAAGTACATTTTAGTTGCGTTGTTAGTCTCGTGTAAGGTCCGTGTGCATTTTGTTAAAGTGTTTTTATTGTGATATAAGAGGGAGGGAGTGAAAAAGAGTGGAACTTTTGGCAGGAGGAAAGTTATACATTTAACGTTTAATGCGCATGAGCAAGTTTTCTGGTGCCCAATACTTTTTGGCAAAATTTAATGTTAAATTTTATATTTACTAGAAAGGCGGTGTTAGCAACAACTCTTACAGGTAATTTTAGTCTGGTTTTGTCAATAAAACATGAACCCAATTTAAGAGTGTCACACCCACAAATATTCGAGGGAACTAACATGGTATGCAGTTTTGGTAAAGAAAACAGGGCGACTTAACTTTTGTTAACTAGAGTACAAGCCAGTAAAGTATGAATACAATATATTTTCTAATATTAAATCGTTTACTGCTTGATTCACTAAAAATGCTCAGAAGTGTCAAGAGTCGATGAAATAAAGTATTTTTTGGAATTACAGAGCCTACTCTCAGATGATATTGCGATAAAAAAAGCGACATCCCGTCTTAGTCTGAATACGTTAGAGTGCGAACTATTTCTGCGAGGTTCTAGACGTCAAAAGTGATAGCTTCACTACGCGTAGTGGAACTTGAATACATGGGGTAGGCTGAAGAAGAATGTCCTGGTCCTTATAAAAATATCTTCAAAAAATACAACTCTCGCAAAACTCTAAATCTAACAAAACACTCTCATTAAAAAAAAAAAAAACACTTTATTATACTTTTTTATCGGCTTTTGCTTTATAGCGGTAAAAACAACTTCCTCCTCTCAAAAAACGGTTAAAGTGCAGGCGAGCTGGTGTAAGTTATACATGATCATTGAAAACCTGAGAGTGTGGTTTGAAAACAGAAAAACGTGAAGTAGAAAGAAAAAGGGACAGACAACGTCTCAAAATCAGCTAAAACTTTATTTCCTCTACGTCTTACATACAACTCCCCCGGACGTCGAAGGTCACCACCACCACAACGGTTGATCAGTGAACTACACACAATACTCCGGAATGACAATTCAACAAACCGCAACCAATACGTAAAAAAAAGTCATACAAACAGAAACACAAGGTCGTCACCACCGCACCCGGAAGGACTTCGACGCGGACAATGGAACACCAGCACTTGGAAACACGAAAAGACCGTCTCTAACTTACCCCCATTCCCGTGGACTGAACCATGATTCACACACAGCCGCTAACAATGCCGCCCATTACGATCCCGAACCCAACAATGCAAACAACTGCGAAGCAGCCTCCTCCCCTTTTACGTTCACCCCAAACAAGATCTTTACAGCCGAAGAAAGTTTTTTGACTTACCTCCCATTAGCAGTAGACGTAAAGGCAATCAAGTTTTTAGCTGAGTTTGAAACGTTGTCTGTCCCTTTTTCTTTCTACTCCACATTTTCTGTTTTCAAACCGCAGTCTCAGGTTTTCAATCATCATGTATTCCTCCTCTATATCTTTCACTATAAAGAAAACATCAAGTTGTATATACAAGAATCAACTACGCTCTGAACGCGAACTGTTAAGTAAATAAAAATTGAAACTAAGCGTGATGTGGCCAAAACACTTTGGTGCATGTACCGCGTTAACAATAAAGCAGGCCAGCCCAACAAATAAAACGAATAATCTTTCGCATGTTGGTATAAAAATTAACTCTAGAAAAATATTGTCAAAATGTCATTCTATAAAATTGTGCGACTGTACATTTTCTAGTAAAAACAGAAGGAAACCGTACAATGGGTGGTCGAGGTAAAAAATGCACGTAATTGACCTGCAGCTCACGTAACTGATATCAGCCATATGAATTAATTGCCACGGGATATATTATGGGCTATTTTATGTGTGGGGAGGCTTCGTGTTAGTCAAAGCTTGCCGGTCACTGAGAGCATCGCATCTCAACGTGTTGTATTTGCTGTGTCCATATGGCTTAGTAGTGAAAAATGTGAAGTGTACACGCCGTTAAACTGTGCGATGTTCGGCGTGCTCGCACACAAATTGAAAACCCAAGGTTGCACTTGCAATGTTTGCGTGCTGAGACTACAGCAGGTTAGAAAATATGTTGTTCATATTGATCTTACTAACCACCTATGAATCAACATACTAATAGGTGATACAGGTTAAGTGCAAAGAAAGATATGCCTTTACCTGCACCACTCAGCTGTGTCGTGGCTTGAGCAGAAGGATGGAGAAGGCAAATCCAAAAGGTATCCGTCACATTGTCCTTTCTAGAATTCATCACAAAACGCCACGATGTTGGTAGTAGCTTGCGTGAATATTTTGTCATCCGCGGAATATTTGCCCACCCTCGTTAATGAGTGTTTGATTAAAAGATGCACACTCTGTGGTCGGTGAAGTCCGGGACAGTGAGGACTGACCGTCATGTTTATTGTGCCTTGTCTTCTTTGCAGTGATCACAGGTCCCACTAAAATAACCGTGAAGAACTGCGTCACAAGCTTACCTGTTTCGTGGACGAATGCGCAGCTGGGTATAGTGTAAGACTGCTGTTTTTTTTAATTTCTTGCCTTCAGTATGATGTCAAAGGGGAAGGCTTAATTATTAGATAAATGTAGAGGGCGTTTGGATTTGCATGAATACAATAACATTAGGACTTTACACGAGGTACGCACTAGCGCACCCAATCAACGGCAGCGATAATGCAGTTGATAGAAAGTGTATAAGATATGGTGATTTAAAAACGCCGAAAGCAAAACCATATATTTTTTTCAGAAATTGTAGTGCAATAGTCTGCCGATTCTATGCATTAAACAAGGTACCAGAACATACATCCACCAGAAACTGTATAAAAGTAATCTCAAGACAAAGAGACTTCTACTCTTGATTTTAGAAATTCACTAATTATTCGGTAGGCATTTTTAATTGATTCTGTGCTTTGTTGGTTTCCACGTAGAACATTATTTTCCGATAGACAACACTCACTGCCCTACAAACACGTTTTCGTCGTTCAATTTTCGAAAAAGTGCACGCGCAACACGTGTTATCAATCCGCACGGTATAAAGCCAGCGAGTGGATTCAACACGCAGAGACAAGATGTGGCCTTCCTTGGACCTGTTTGCTATTATATGCAATGTGTCGATGCGATCGATATGCTGAGCGGAAAGGAACGTTATAATTTTCACACTGTAGTACAAGTTTTGTTTGTGTATTTGGACGAATTCGTGGTTTTATTGTAAAAACGTTAAAAGTATATGTTTGATGTTAAGGTTGATAAAGGAAGGACATGAACATTAGACAGATACCAAGACCGGTTCATAAATATCTCTCCAGATGTGGCGATTTAAAAAGCCTCACTACGTTCGGCTGTGCTCCGACGACCTCACGCGTTTGGGTGTTCGTGTGCGTCCAACGTTTTGACCGTCTCGTGCATTCGGCGTAACGCGTGACCTTGGCGTCGCGCCTGCTTGCCGCCGCTTCCAGCATCGCTTCGCCGGCCGGATACCGATGGGATTAAGACAACGCCTCCTGTTGTTTCTGTTTGCGATTTTTTCCCTCTCGTTCGGCGAGAGGAAAGAGAAAAAAACGTGACCCATTTGTGCAGTAAGCCTTGGGCGACACCGACGATTGGCCCTTCGGAAGGGAAAGTAGGACTTTAGAAAACTGTGTGGAAAACACAGACTCTTTAGGCCCGTTCACACACTTGCGACCTCTTAAGGCCGAGTGCCTTGGAACTTAATATCTCTTGCGACGAGAGGACACACTGGTGCCATCGATTGGGTAGCGGTGTAAACTTGGCGGTCCGGCATAATTTCTGTTTCTCTCGCGCATTATCCTTTCTTTCTTGCTCATCAAACTTTTGTTAACCTCATAAACGAGCCTTTCTCATAGGTATTACGCACATTTGACCTCGCCAATCTCGCAAAGCCTTCGCTCTTGTGAAACGCAGTTCCAGGCTCACCGCATGGATGGCACCAGCGTGCCAGTGTGATCTATCGTCCTAAGTAAGGATGTCGCGAACCACCCTATAGGTTCGATTTCGAAGGGTTTCAAAATTCGCGAAGCAAACTCAGGTTCGATTTAAAAAAATTTCGATATTTTCGTACCGACCGAGGTTCGAATTCGAAAGAAATCTGCAACTTTCGATCACAGTGGAGTTTCGAAATCGAAAAGTTCAAAGCTTGCACGGTTTCTAAACTTTCGGGTTCGAATATTTTGAATATTTTTATAATTAAGGTTCGATAAATTCGAAGATTTCGAACTTTCCTAGCTTGAAATTCGAGATATTCGAGAAATTTGAATTTCTTGAGATCTGAAGTTCGAAAAATTCGAGGATTTCGATATTCTTTGGAAATAAAATTCGCAAACTTCGAACGCTTCGAATTTTTAGAGACATAAAGTTCGAACAATTCAAAGATTTTGAATTTCTTTCTGCATAAAGGTCGAAAAGTTCGAAAGTTTCGATTCTCTTTTAACGCTAAATTCAAAGTAAAAACTTCGCAGATTTTTGAATTCCTTTCAAGTCCAAGTGTTCAAGTACAAAGTCCGGTTTTCAACTTCCCCCAAAGTTTCAGTTTCAAATAACGTTTTCACGACTCACTGGTTTTCACGAAATCAAGTTTAGAAAAGTTAGGGTGTGATATCCAGATTCTGCGAAGTTGGTCAGGCAATTAAATGAGACGACGTGTCCCGGATGTGTTGGAATATCTGCCAGTGCAGAGTGACGTGTGACCATAGATCAGTAAATGTGACCGCCAGCCCGAGGGGGGGGGGGGAGGATTTAACCTGCATCACGCAGTAGTGATCACACGAACACACTGTTTTATGATACTCATCCAGTTCGAAACGGCCAGGGACGAGCAGGAAGTTGAGGCTCAGAAAAACGTTGAAGCAACCTGGCAAACTGCCTCCCCACTCCTTGCACGCTGGTAGTAATCCGATCGAACGCCGCCCGAGTGACGCAGGCATATAGTAAGTTAAGTTTGTAATTGTCCTGGAGGTTTATTTTCTGGGACGGAGGAATCGCCTCGCAAAAAGCACGGAAGCCGACACAACTCTAGGTCGAGGGCGTGGTCGAGCTTATTTTAATCTGAAATTATTTATGCATATGTATAGCAACTTTCGCTCTTCACTGCATAAAATGTCGCGTAGATGGTCATTGCCAGGAACTCGTTGTCAGAAGGCAGTACTTGACACATGCTTAGTGGTTCGGAAGCTCAAAGCTATGTCTTTTCAACCTAAATACCCTATTGAAAATTGCATCAAAATACGTAATTTGGGACATTGACTGCCAGTCAGCAGCCTTGGTGGAACGTGATGGACCATCAGACGTCATCTGATGGTCCATCAGATGACGTGTGACAGCCACTGCCAAGGTAATTTCATCAACAAGGGCAGCATTTATATAAGAGTAAAGCTATACGCACTCATAAATATCGCCAAATGCCTCGATAAAACAAAATGTTCGAGAAAAAGAAAGAAAAAAAAAGCAGGACCACCGCGGATCGAACCCGCGACCACTTGCGTACAAATCGGACACCTTAACCCCTGTCCTATGCCTTTATTTTTCTTTATTGTCCTGTGCTATGCCTTCGTTTTGAAAACTCGATTTGACCATTCCTTTTATACTAGATGCTTCGGCTGCAAATGCAGTCAAGCCTCCAGCATGTTATGCAAAGCGCTCGTACATCACTCGCCAGTTCTACTCACCTGCCATGTAGAGTACTTTCGCGTCGTAGAACGATCCTTTTGTTCGCGCGTCTCCGGCCCAGTAGACCTGGTACACCTTGTCGTTTTCAACTACACCGCTAAAGTCCCTTACATCGTCGGAACTCACAACAGGCTGGGTCTTGTCGAGTAGAACTTCTACTAAAACATAAGACATTCTAGAGCCCGGGCAGGATCGACAGGTTGGAGCAAGCGGGCAAACAAAACGAGTCGAGAGCGATCGTTCATGAAAGCTCGGCGAAGCCTCTACGGGCGAAGCCCATAGAGGCGTTTCTTCGGGCTTCTGATCAAGGTTGTCAATCGGCTGCGTGTCATATCTCTAACATCAGCGGTTTTATGGGCTCACGTCCCGAAATCGTTTTCTTGTGCATAGATTATTTTTCGTATTCATAGATTTGACGAAATAGTGGTATCCGAACAAACTTTACGTCCTTTGACCGTACGTCTGTCCGCACGTCAAAGCTTTTTGACGTATAGTCAGAGGCAATCGATGTACAATCAGAATCGCCACCAAGACATCTTGATGGCATTTCGCGGCGGCCGACTGCCACCAGGAAACCATCAGAAAGCCGAAAAGTGGAGTCTGACTGGAGTTTGACTGTCGGTCAGAGTAACTTGTTGGCCAATCAGACATGCTTGACATACAGTCAGGCACAGTCAGCGGTCCACTAGAAAACATTGACTGCCAAACAGGGTCACATTGATGAATTTTTTCCTTCGGTTACCTGTGCAATAAAAAAAAAAAAAAAAAAAACATGATTAAATGCGGGGATATAAAGCTGGAGAAAAAAAAAACTACCAAGAATTCGCCGGAAGTGTTGTATTCTTGCATATTCAGAGGTTCAGAACTTCGAAACAGGTGTCTCCTACCAAAATGTGCACAGGCTAAAAGAAACACGTCCCAGACACGTGAAGCAAAAAAAAAAGTTTTCTTTTAATGACGTGCAATCTTGAACAACCTAATAAATCTTCTCACATGAGTTAATTTACTCCTTAGTGTGAAAACACAATAAATACATTATTTTGGATTCTGCAGATGGCAATGATATGTACTGTCTGTGGTGTTAATTTAAATGCGATACCTTGAACAACTTAGACGAAAATAAATACCAAGTTTAGGGCATAACTGCATGTAGATACATGTTTGGACATTTCTTCCAAACTCACCTTGAATAGCAATAATCACATCTTAAGACGAAACTTACCTAGGCTATACATATATCATTCTTAAAAAGATTAACATCTCTACCATAAATACCTTCGGCTACAGCGCGCTTCAAATCTGGCACAAACGATGATCGTCGAAAACCCGTCGTCCTTCCTCGCCCCTTCGGGAATTTATTTATTTAAAACTAAGCATACCAGAACATTGAAATAAACGGCATTGTCTTTCGTAGGGAACGCAGCACCGTATGTAAAAGTTCGAGAACATAAATTACGAATCTACCTCACTTATTGAATTCAAATATTACCGTCCGCCGGTCTTTCGAAGTTCGACGAACGTCGAACTTTTACCCTAAAAGTCGAATTTCGTCGAACTTCTGACTTTTCAGGATTCGAAATTTCGACACTTTTCGAATTCTTTTGATAAATAAGTTTGATAGTTCGAAGATTATCGAATTAGTTAGCATAGGAAATTCGACAGTTCGAAAATCTTTTTTTAGTGGAAGAAGTTTGAAAGTTCGAAAATCATCAAATTTTTTTGTCAGTCAAGTTCGGAAGTTTGACACGCGTCGAATTTTGCAGCGCGATAAGCTCGAAAGTTCGAAAAGGATCGAATTTTTTTGCGTAATACGTTCTACGGTTCGAACAGCGTCGAACTCCTTAGTTTATCAAGTTCGAAAAATTGATTTCCTTCAAATTTTACAATATAAAAAATTCGAATCTTTCGAACCTTTCGTACCGCTTGATTCGATCATCGAAAATTCGGTTCGAAAAAAGTTCGCGGCATCCCTAGTCCTAAGAGGTTTTAAGGGGTTTCAACAGGTCTCGTCCCTCTCGGTCGTACTCAGTTGCAAGTGTCTGAACGGGCCATTAGAGAAGTTATAATCAGTTCCATGTAAACTTTTTTTTAGAGTGGAGTTTAGGCTATAAGCATTGAAGTGTTGCTTAATAAGGGAGGATAATAATATTTTACGAACTGATGTGTTATTTACACGGGTAGTTATATTTTGCATAGTATTTTCCTTTATTCAAAACTCTATTGTGTCCGTGTTCTTCTATAATAAAATAATGTTAAAGTAATTTGGTGTCCAGAACAAAAGTATGGGTGGCCCTCTAACTGTGTTATAGACGCGTTACGGAATGGGCCGCACTTATAGACTGACAGTAATCTATAAATATACTATAGTTGGCATACTATGAAACAAAACTCCTAAAGTTAATATATTTTTAACAAAATTCTTATTTTATGCACCAAACATATCAGTTTTTAATCTTCCACATTCACAAAATATTCTTTAAACATATACGTTTTACAGTGCTACATACATCAACAAACTCGAGGTTTTACGAAAATGTTAAAAATGAGGCAGTCTATTGTGAATTGTTTGTTTTAAAACACATTAAGTAATGTGTTTAAAAAAGTATTCAATGTGGTGTTTTTTAATATATTTTCGCGAAACGTCGCGTTTGTTCAGGTGTGTAGCAGTGAAAATACGAATCTCTATACTTATTATTTTGGAAATATGTCCTCATCTGAACTCATATTTGTCAACTGATTAAACCAATAATGATGTCAGTTGTAAATAGCGATACCAAGTGCATTAGGACTAATGAGCTATTAATGTTCTTCTAGGATTTTCCTTGGAGTGATAATTCTGATATCAGTCATGAGCTCTATCGTTGACGTCCGGCTTACACGAAGTGAAAAACTGCAAACCAAGCCAGCACGAAGAAGTGAGTTCATATTCATCACCTCTTTACGGGTCTGGAAAAAAGAGTAGTTTGAAATATTTCCATCTCGAGTGCTTGTTGTTTCATTGCTCGAGCATGGACATAAGGTGCCTTCTGTTCCAAATAGAACATATGTATCTGAAGACCGATATACATATGACGGTTAGCCGGGTTACTAAATTTTTCTAGAGTCATGTTTGTTTTGTTTCTGATAAAATGGTTTAAAATCAAAAGTACATCCACAAGCAGGAATGTCAGAAATACAAGAGTATTTAAACAAATGTTTACTGGTTCACAAGATGCTAGTTAATATGGTTGTTAACGAGTATAAAGATCTCTCGATCTACCAATTTTCATTTGACGGTAGGTCAACCTGCTTAAATCAAAGAGTTGTAAAATATTTGGCCACGGAAAGAAATTGACGATATTTGCTGTACAACTTATTTCCTTTCGACTGAAATAGCGGCTTATATAAAAAAAAGGGCATATCAGTGTAATATCGGAAAGGGGAACATCTGCTCTTTGGAGCTTTAACCTCAGCAGCAATAAAAGAAATGATAAACTAATGATTGAAATCCTGATTGTATCTTGTTGCGAAGATGAGCGGCAGTCACGAATAACATAGATGTGCTCGGAAGATGAAGCCGAGTGCTTAAAAGGTGGCAGGGTCTTGCGCACGGGTCTTGCACGTCGGCATTGCGCACCACTGCTGCAGTATCGTCCTCTTCCTTTTATGAAATTCAGCCCGTAAATTCATTTGGTGTCAATGCAATGGGATGCCCACGTGAGCCTCTAGGCTCCTAAAATAGGTCACCCTGGAACAAAACAAAAATAATCGCATCGGCATATAAAGCATCGCACCCCTTTCTCCTCGACCGCAGGCAGACTGATGAAGTACATCACAGCGTTCTCAATTCCTGCAAACACTCGCGCACTTCTTGCGGTCAGCGAAGACAAGACGGCCGAGTCTTACAACTACCGTTTTCTGCACGGACTGCGCTTCTTCAGCCTTTTGTGGATCGTTCTTGGTCACACGTCCATCGCTTTTGACCCCATCGTGTGTAAGTAACTTTCTCCTGAATGCGGAATTATGAAATTAAAAAAAAAAGTGAAAGCGTCTATATGCTCTATGTTCTCGCTTAGCAGCTAGGTCGCAAATGCGTATAGGCTCCGTGCGGGAACTATAGGGGGCGCTTTAAAAAACGTCCGTAGCGCCGCTAGCGGAGGAGCTGGCGTTCCACAGTGAGGAGCGTTGAGCAGCCTACGGCGCCTTTTCGCATGCCAAACTGTGGCGGCGGAAGTGCGTACGGACAAAACTTTTGCTCTTTAAGCCGATACGTTTAGGGTGACGTTCCATGAGTGCTGGGGTAGACCTGAGCAAGGGCATCTAGCTGTTCTCCACTTATATATTGAGTTTGAGTCGTTACTAGGGGTAATTTCTCTAGTTGCGGCCGAAAAAGGGGTTGGAACAATTTTCCGAAAAGCAAGACGGCCACCACCATAATTTCTCTGAGTGGGAAATTTGTTTCGCTCGTCGCTGTAAATGAGACTGCTGGAACGATGATATTTGGACGCGAGTGAGATGTTCACCAAGTTTGTGCACGAAGTGTGCCAAGTTTCATTAAAGGCCGACGTACACTTCGCGCTTTTCATTTTTGCCCTCCTCTCCTTTTCTATATCCTCTCCACTTTTAAGCTTGTCCCAACTTCGCTCCCCTCGCAGCTTAGGAGGGGGGAGCGCTAACAGGATTATCTTCCTTGCAGAAAAACGATGTTGTACGTCGGCCTTTAAGACAGCAGGTGTGAAAGTTATGTTTCTAAGGAATAAAAAAATAAAGCTGTACGGGATATCCAATATTGGACATAAAATGTTGTGTCATAACCTGGCTGTGCGAATTGCAGATTTGGGCACACAGGTGCTTGGACTTGACCGTAACATGATACAGCACTTACTATACCAAAAAGAGGTGGCATAGGGAAACCAGGTGGAAATTTGGTTTGAACGGCGTAACTCAATGGTAACCGGTTTTGACCATGAAAGGGCTGTCAAGAGAATACCACTCTTCGTGGGAGGTGGAGACTTTACAGGTAGGGAGGGACTAGTGGACTGTACTACCAGTTGAAACAACGTTACAAAGGTGGTTCTAAAGCCGAGAAAACAAAGTTGTTTTCCAACACACGGTTTGGCCGTCAAAGGCTTTTGCGGTCAGCTGTTGTGTAATAACCTGTTGCGCGAGGTGCTGATTTTCGGCACACAGGTACTTTGACATTACCGTAACTTGACACAACACTTATTATACCAAAAAGAGGTGGCATAGCGAAACCAAGTGGAAATTAAGTTTGGGCGGCGTAACTAAATGGGAACCGGTTTTGACCATGAAAAGGCTGTCAAGAGAATACCACTCATCGTGGGCGGCGTACACTTTAAAGGTAGGAAGAGAGCAGTGGACGGTACTTCCAGTTATAACAACTTTGTTATAGGTGGCTCTAAAGCCGAGAACAAAAAATTGTTGTCTACAGAACTCGGGGTGTCAGCGTTTCCACATCCAAAAGGAGGCTGATCAAAAAAGAAAGCACACCACATAAACTTCCATACTCAATCGTCGATTCTCCAGTGATTCCGAGTTTCATTGCAGTTTTCCTTATTTTCATATTTGTCACTTTTTTTTTTTTTCACCGTTCGAATCTTTATACATGAAGTACAGATCGCGTGCCATACTTGTCCGGAAATATAATTGACACGTACGATGGGGACGAAACTTCTTCGGGGGGCATTCCTGCAACGAAATTGGCGCTGCATACCCGTGAGTGTGGGATGGCATTTCAGTTCGTCCCATCGGCGCTAACACATGTAGGCGTCACTGGTACGAAAACAAACGCAGAGCGCAAAGGTGCAGTGTAGAATATGTCAGCCGAGCCGACACAGTGGCAGATATGATCGGGAGACTAAATTCCTCGCGTAGTACGGCACGGGTCCATCGTTGTCGCTCTCCTACAAAACATCGGCGAGTTGAAAAACTGAAACTTTGTCCCCACGAGATACGACGCACAACTAATGAAGTACTTAACGACGCAGCACCGGCAGCACTTCATGCTGTGAACCCAGCGCAACCGCACCGCTCCGACTTCAATGCGTACCAACGTACACATCGCGACACTGTTAGCGCGAACACGACATCGGCGCTTTCTCGCATGTCATTAGGAAATAGTATTAGTGGGCACACAATTTTACCCCTCATATTAGAGCCCTAAATGAGCTCTTTCTATAACAGACCTCTTTGATGAAACCGTTCCGTTTCAAGAGAAAAACACAGAAAACTGGCGACCGCTTGTGCGCGCTAACAGTGTCGCGCTCTGTACGTGGCGTGGTTTCGATTTCGTTTTGTTTGGGGTTCTCACTGCCTACCTTCGGTAACGGCCGCGCGGCGGCGCGTCAGTCGCGTCGCACGGAGTGTATATAAATGACTCAGAATCATTATAATTTTAACGATCACCTGTCGCCCCTATTTGTATGTAGAGTGCGTTGAATAAGAAACTGTATTTTGTATTATAAGTATGAGGCATACTCTACAATTCTGAAACTGAAAAAAAAATCACTGAGTTACGTACCCCGGGGGAATGTATAGGAAATTAGGGAAATCGTTGGCCGACAATAAAATAATAAAAAAAAAAACGGTAGCTACAACAATAAAAAAAAAAAAAAAAAACGAAAAAAACGGGTCGGTGTTTGAGTGGGCTAGCATTCCGTTTCTGGCTGCCGATAGGAGCGGACGCAGAATGGGCTCCGTGCGAGCAGCGATAGCGGCCGTCGAGGGTCGCGGTGACTCGGCATCTTCTGGTTCAAACGACTATCGTATCGTCCTTCCTCCATTGCCAGCCGGCGAGGCGATGAAGCGTGCAGTTATTCTGCACTGCGACATCTCCGGAAGACCCTACAGGCTTGAAGATTTTCGGAAGCCGCTGAAAGACATCGGCGTGATCGGGGAGGTGACCGGAATCGGGGCATACCAGATGTCGCATGTCTGGCTCCTCGATATGCGGCCGGACGAAGCGAAGAAGAAGCTGCTCGACGTCGGGCAGTTCCTTGTCAAGGAGAAGTCGCGCCTCGTCGTCAATCCGACAAGGCAAGAAGTGCGGGTTAAGTTGCATTGGGTGGCGTTCGACGTGACCAACGACACGATACGACGAGCCTTCGGGGAGTACGGCGAAGTGAAAGAGGTGACGCGAGAGAAGTGGAGGGTCGCCGACTTCGAAGGCGTGGAGTCTACGACGCGGCTCGTCCGGCTGGTGCTGCACGAGGGCGTCTCGCTGGACCGTCTTCCACACCAGCTGCGCCTTGGCAGTGGCGCGGTTCTGGTGGTGGTTCCCGGCCGGGCTCCGATGTGTCTACGATGCCGCACCAAGGGGCATATTCGGCGAGACTGCCGGGTACCTAAGTGCTCCGAGTGCCGCGCATTTGGACATGTGTCGGCCGACTGCACACGCTCGTACGCCGGTGCTGTTGGGCGGGGCACGGACGGAGACCACAGCGAACTCGTTATGGACGAGGACGAGGCGGAGGGCGCAGCGGCGCCTGCAACGGCTCAATCCGAGCCGAGAGAGGCGCAGGAAGGGGCCGCCACCACCACCGCTGTGACGAGCGGTGCTGACCTGCAGCCGGTGGCGGTGACTTCGAGGCCGGAGCAGCCGGAGGCGCAACAGTCGGCCACGCCGGAGTCGGGCATCAAAGAGGTCAATGCCTCCGGAGTGGATGTTCCTGTGTGCGACGATGTCAACAGCAACTCGGAGATGGAAGCGTCGCTGTGATGCCAGCCTTGAGGCATCGCAGGAGCGTCGGCTTAGTCAGCTTGAAAAGGAGTTAAAAGTTGTCGGCGGAAGGGGAAAGAAGATGCGAGTCGCCAGTCAAGGGCGGTCGTCGTCGCTTCCACGCGGTGACAAGACGGCGGCCGGAACGCCTGCGGGCATGGAACACTGCGCCTCGTAAAACTGAGGGGGTAAGCACCGAGTGCTCCGTCTGAACCATTCTACCATCGTGTCTCTAGATAGGTTACTGCGAATTGCGACCCTAAATGTACGAGGGCTGGCTGCTGGGAGGCGGCAGAACCAGCTGTATCGCCTCGTGACAGAGCAGGACTTTTTTATTTATTTATTTATTTACAGATACTACTGCCTTCTCAAGGAGGGCGTTGTAGGACGGGCTTCTAAACAATGACTGAAACGTACAATATGGGACAAGGCCAGTGCAACGAACATATTAAAGAGCAGAAACCGTGAAACCGATAACCGAAATACTGCACAACAATGAAACGAAACAGTGAGCATCATTACACTTTGCCATGTACATTTTAGCATTTCCGCTAGAAAGCGAACAAGACATTGAACGATGTTATATGCACAAACGACCAACACAACTTAGTTCGAGATATATAGCTGCCAAACTATTTCAGGAGCAGTGCATTGAAAAATTGGCTAACAGACAGCAGTCACAACAAAATCAAAACAATAAGCAATAAGTAGCCTCGAGGTTATTTAAATAATGAAAAGAGCGAGGCTTTAAATGATTGGATGGAAGTCGTGTTTACGATGTCAAAAGGCAGCTCATTCCATTCAGTAATGGTTTTAGGAAAAAAAGAAAACTTGAAGCAGTCGGTATGGCATTGATAGTCTGTAAGTGATAAGGCATGGTAGCTACGTGTGCTTCTCGCAGATTTTAGAGTGACATAGCGTGACCTGTCTATTCTAAACCCATCGTTTATCAGTGTGTATAGGAAAGTGAGTCTGTTAATTTTCCTACGCGTTTGGAGGGGCTGGATACCGGCTATGCTGTATAGGGCACTCACAGAATCTAATCTTTTGTATTTGTTGTAAATAAATCTTAGTGCCCTCTTTTGTATTCTTTCGAGTTTATTTATGTTCGATAATGTGTGTGGATCCCAAATAATGTCAGCATATTCTAAAAGTGGCCTGATGAGAGATTTGTAGGCTATTAATTTTGTTGCAGTTGTAGAGTGTCTTAAGTTACGTTTCAGATACCACAGTTTGAACATCGCCTTCTGACACAG